CTGATGGACCTAAGTCTGTAAATCAAATGATCCAGGCCTGCTACTGAAGCAACTGCATTTTCTAAAGTAAAGTTTGGGGCAGTGGAGGAAAAAGGACTAAGGATTTCTGGATTTTCTTTGTTAATGATAATTTGTTTTGTCAGGATACCACACAGAGTACAGAATGGGCTTTATCATATAGATAATGTTATATATAGTGTTCTCTACTTAAATAATCTGTGTGTGTTTATGTGAACACACATGCACAGACCTTCTTCCTGAGTTCCGTTGTTGCCAAAAGTATTTCCCTGTTTTCCAGCATTTGTTACAATTTTCTCATGGGGTGGGGCAATCAATACTATAAGTAAAATCCAATTAAAACCTTCTAATGTTCTCCTTCAATGTCAATACTGATTATGCTAAACCTCTAATTACTTTATGCCCAGATTTCTTTGTAAAGAATGTAATTCCTGAGCAGCCCTAGCAAAGAGCTTGTAGGAAATTTTTCAAGAAGCAACTCTTGCTTTTAAAAAAGGGAAGAGCTGGGGCTCTAAAGCTATGCCCATGCTGCTGTATAAAATGAGGCCAAGGACTGTTGTTGGCAGCAGGAACAAAAGGACATGCCCTGGAAGTTACATCCTGGCCTTGGGCAGCCTCTGGACCTGAACTGAAATGATACAAGGGCTGTGTTGCAGGTCACCAAGGGCTGTTTTTCACAGCATCAGTTTGAGATTCTTATTGCCTGTGGCTTGTAGCATGATAGCCTGTACAGGCACAGGTAGGTTCAAAGCCAGCTGTGCACAGTGAAGGGACCCAAACCTGATGCAGTCTTGTCCAAAACCCTGCCAAGGAATGTTCCCTGGCACATCCTGTCCTCTTGACCTGTGCCAGGGCATTCTGTCTGTGAGCATGAGTTAGCACTGGCCAAACCCACAGCAGGGACGATGTGAATAGTGACATGTCTGAGCCTGCCCTCCAGCCCAACTTTGTTCACCAGTATAGATGTAATCCTCTGCTGCCCCCAGGCCCAAAGAGGGCCCTGACAGGAGATGCTGGTAGTGGATAACAGTGCTGAGCAGAGCAGTATACTCAGGACAGCCCTGCTCCTTCTTGGCAGGTATGGGGAGGTGGAATATAGAGGTGTAAAGCCTGCTCCCACCCAGACCCAAAACCCAGAGAGCCTCCACTGTGCCTTGAACCATGGATCACTGACCCCACAATTTCATTGATCAATAATAACAGTTACCTCAATCTTGTGAATTCTTTTTAATCCTGCAGAAGATGAAGCAAAAGCTGTCTGTGCTTTTTGGATTGATCTTCTTGCTTCTGCTTCTAGTTTTGTTTCTGGACGTGGATGGTCATGAGCTCCTTTGGACTTTAGAAAGTAATTAGCACATGCTAAAGTTAGAAACATCCTTATTATTTATGTAGCAGAATTTGTAGTACAGGCCAAACCCATACATTTGGCCTGATTTAGCTATTTGTATTTAATAAGACTTATTTAATCTGAGCTCAAGTAACAAACCTATCTTGTATGAAGTGTGATGGGATGGAAAGTACTTGAAATCATAAAACCAGTGCACCACATTGATGTGCAGGCTGGCAACTCTGTCCGTGCAATAATTTCCATTCTTCTCACACCTCAGACATTTCCATTAGCTTCCATAGATAATTAATTATATTTAACCTCCACTTAAGTGAAAGACTGAAAACAGGAGACAGGTTATGATACTACGCTGCTGCGTTATGGTACTGCTGCAGCTTCCAGAAATATTGCCCACTATTTAAACACTTGCTTACACTCTTTTCCAGGTACAAGTTACATATAAAGCACAGATTATGTCTATTTTCCATAGACAGTCCCTTGGGTACAACTGTTTCCTGCTCTAGGATAGCTTCATGCTTATTCATGGTGCCTTGGAGAAGAGGCTACCATGGCATTTCTGACATTTTGAGGATCCATTGGTTCTTATGTACCTGAGGCAAAGTGCTTCAAAAGCTACAGGTTTTCATGGGACCCTAAATAAAAATATAATATGCTGTAACGTCATAACAGCATAGGTTAATTTAGGTTGGAAGGGAACTCTGGAGGTCTAGCTCAACCTCTCACAGGCAAGACAAACTTCACAGTTAGATCAAGTTGCTTAGGAGCTTGCCCACTCATTGCAAACATTTTTCTCCTTACAGTCATTTGACCTTGTAATATTCAATGATGACCCTTATTTGTTGGAACAAAAAATGTCCGTAATCAGTCTTAAAAAACAGTCTTTGAAATGAACCTGCACAATGTAAGGTAATTTTATACCAACCTGAAAAAATATGAATTGGCCTTCATGCCTCCAGAAGTTGGTGACTGGGTAACCACCATGGCCTCGGCAGGAAAGGAGCCGCAGGGGTCCATTGCAGTTTGGGCAGCATTTTCCTGAAGCAAAGATGGTGGAAATATTTTCTATACAACACTGATTAGATGAATGCTGTGTGCTACAATGGTGGTGGATTGCCACTTCTGGTTTTGGGCTCAGAAGTTACACTGAGTAAAACTATGCAAAAAACTTCCAAAAGTAAGCAAAAATCAATATAAACAATCTAATAATTGCCTTTATTCTGTCCCACTGTTCAGCGTAACTGGGAAAAAAATTCTGTTATAGTTTTATTATAATTTTAAAATTTCTTATAATGGTCAATTGTAGTTGTTTTTAATTTGGCAGTGTCTGGAATGCTGTATGTGTTCCTGCCTGATTTTTCTAGAACGTCATTCTGACCACAGCGAGTGCTTGAGCAATACCTTTCTTTAGCCAAAATGTTAATCAGATCCAGAAATCAATATATGCTAGTTTTACTGTGCTATCAACCTTTGTTTGGAATGGCCTTGTTAAAAGTGTAGCTCATGTAGTTCATGCAGCTCATGTTCTCTATTTGCATCATCTTGCTCAGTGACATGACTATGAGACTGCCATCATATGAGTAACTTCTTTCCTGCAAGACTTGCCTCCCAAGTTACCCATGGGCCTCTCCAATAATGAAGCCAACACTCAGGTCAGCAGGAACAGCACAGCAGGAAGCTGCCTGCACTGCACAGCTTTCTCAGTAGCCTCACTTATGGGCCTGAGAAGGCTGGAAACCAATCTCTATCAAAACAGAGATTTAAAAAAGAAATAAAAAGACAAAACAAAAAAAACCCCAGCAAACAACTCCTTCCACAAGAGTAAGAAATGTAAAAAACATTGTTCCAAAATCAAGAGTTACATTTTAATATAAGGAATGACAGTGGGGAGGTTGGATAATCCAACAGTTACCCTGTACTTAGATGTCTTTTATGTTGTGTTCACTTACAAACTGCCATGTAATGAACAGCCTTGCTCATACTCACGCTGTTGTTTTTGCCTGGCTTTGTCACAAATGGCTGGTCTTAGGTAGATCTTCCTCCCATCCCAGGTCGAGCAGTCATTTCCACAGACCACGACCCCAAGGCAGGACTTTTTTAAGATACGAGAGTTGTGGTTGTTGGTGTTTCTCATTGCCCAGCTACTGTGGTGCCTCTGAGCATTTTTATCCTCTGAGCTGTAGATATGTTTTACATAGGAATCTGGCCATTCTTGAAACCAGTCTGCTTGTTGTACATCCTGTGGAGAGACCAAAGCAACATGTATTAGGGTGGGGAAGAGAATAGCTCAGACAGGAGCCCAGCTCCTCTCTGTGGGGTGTCCTCTAGCCAGGGTGACTTGAGTACCCTGGCAGGTGATCCTGGTTGGCAGGAGGGAGTGGTGAAGGAAGAAAAAACGTACAGCATCCCACGAGCTCCAGAGCATCAGGAAAGCCTGGCCAGGAGGCTGCTCTCACCAGCCCACAGGTCCAGCTCTCTGCAGGACCTCCCCAGGAGGGAAAGGTGGCATGCCTGATGTAAAATAGCAGATACTTTTCTTGCAGGCAGCAGTCACCACCTGACTAACTTCTGTTAACTTTCATGGCAGAGATCCTGCTTCAGCCTTCAGGCCACTCACTGCAGCGTTGCACTGAATCACGTGGCTTGATTTGGCTCAACTTGTGGAAAAGGGGTAAATACTGAATCAGACTGAGACTGTGGCCACTTTTGTAGGTCTTTAGTTCTGAACTTTTGTTCATTTTGGCCCAACTGCTGTGAAAGACTTGCATGATGATTTTTCTGAAGATTGAAAGAAAGAATCTTGATGTCCTGGTCAGGTTTTATTTTTAGTGCTATGGACTAAGCCAAAAAAAGAAAAAAAAAAGAAAAAAACACAGAAAAACCCAAGGACAACACTTAAAGGAACAATAGAAATAAAACTCAATGGAAAAAACAAACAAACAAACAAACAACCACACATCATCTTGGTGGGTACAGTCAACACAGTAAAATGAAGTAAGCTGTAAAGAACCTAACATACTCACTGACAGTTTTAAAGTATAAAGGTCTTACAGGGGTACAACAAAACTAGGCATTCATTTGAAATTGGTGATCCCAACCATTGAGAGCTATTACAGCAGAAAGAACATCAACTGAGAAAACAACCTGCACTCCCCCAGGAGCCATCAGACAATGTAGGGAAGGGTGGGGAGAAAGCCTCCAGGCTGAAATGCAGGTGAAGGTGACCTTGGAGTGGAGAGCAGAGAAGGAGGCAGCCTGGGACATGGAGGCTTTGGGCAAACAGCAGTGACATAGTAGGGAGCAGACTGGGATCAGGTAAAGAAGACAGGGTGAGGAGGAGAAAGAGCTGGATGTTGAAGGACCCCAGCAGAAGGAATCTGGCACAAATATGTCAAGGTGAGGGACAGGTAGATGACACTGGCATGCAGGGTGCTGTGGACTTTCATTGGAGAGCATGGTTAAAATTTTTAGATAGGAGGACTAGAAAAGGACTGAGAGACACAAAGATCTCTATTCTGCCTCTCAGCAAATCTCTGCAAACACGGCGCAAGCTTTTCCTAGGTGCTCATGAGATGAGCATTGCCTCTGTGTGCAGAGCCATCCTGCCTGCCTGGAGCCCTGTCTGCAGCAAGGCTGAGCACCCAGAGTTGCAAGTGGGTGCTGAGCTCACTTCCATAAAGCACTACCAAAGGCAAAAAAGCAAGTCCTGGGCATCTCTAATTGAGCACCCACAGCAGAGAGTATTTCCCCTCCCTGGTTTCTCTGCACCTCATCCACCAGCAGACTAGAAAGGCAGTGCATCTGCAGCATTGCTATTTTTCATCTATCAGCAACTCTTTCAATAATACATTTAAGGAAAATTGCATGGAAATGTCAATATTTGCTCAATATTTTCTAGGTTTTCAGTAAAACACTGTCCCATACCTTGACAGGGCAAAGAGAATAAAGGCAATGACTTAGAAAGCATTTAAGATCAGCCATGAAATGGAGAAATCTGATCAGAACTGGATAAATTTTGAAGAACAAACACATACCTGGGGAAGTTTGATGTCATTTATATCCCAACTTGTCATTTCTCCAGGTTGGGAAGCAGAGTCCTCCCGCTGCATAACAATATCATCTGCACCTTTAAGATTTTTTTAATTCCTTCCCAAAGTTAGCCAGAAAGTTTCTGCTTTTGAAGTTGACTGGCTGTCAGCACTCTCAAGCAGTTTACAACCAGGAAGCTGTTTCCTGAAGCTAAATGGTAGAGAGGCTGCTCATTGAAGATAAAAATCAGTGTTCTTCTGCCAGAAAAACTTGTTTCATTAAAAGTTTTGCAAGCCAGCAATGCAGTGGAAAATATAGCTTAGAGATAGCTTGTGATGTTACAGAGGCATCACTAACAGCAAGCAAATTGTGCCTTCGTCATCTGTTTTGTTTTGCTCAGTCTCCTCTCACACCAAGTTTACAGACATGTAACTCTGCTCGCAGGCTCTTTGTACATCTGATCCAACTCTGGCTCAGTATTTCCAGAGCCAAACTGATTGAACAGCTCAGTGGTTGCTAAAGGCTCTTTGAGTTGCTGCTTACCCATTAGATATTTCACATGCTTCGCATGACGAAGGTGAGCAACTAGGAGGGATGGCTACATTATTTCAAATGAAACAGTGCTCCAGCATTTCCAGTCTTGTTGGCATCTCTGACAGCTTACCAACTACATGAGGGAAGTATAGAAAAAGAGGCTAGGCTACCTGCATTTTCCTACCTCAACAGCAGACTGAAGTGAAAAAACCCACCCAGTTTGTTAAAACCATCATTTTTTTCCTGAAATTTTTCAAAGCAGGTGGTTGCCCTACTCTGAATTTCAGTACCAGCCAAGCTTAATACCATATCATCAGGGACCCCATTCATGAAGAATTTCTGAGGTTGTTTACTTTAGCAAGGAGACAAAAGGTGAATCAGAAAAGGAAGAGGCCATTTTTTCTCTTTCTGGAAACTGGAAAATCTCCAATGATTTCAGGAAGGTGACTGTAATTTCTACCAATTAAGGATTTGTTAAAGACTACTGAGTAGTGGAAGACATAAAATCTACTTGATGCAATTTATATTTCATAAACTTTACTATGCATAATTTATTTTATTTCTGGCTCTGCAGATGCATGATTCTTGGAAAGTGACTTCCCCTTCATGCCTTTAGTTTACCCATTTATAAAATACATGTGATCTTAATTTCTCGTATTACATTATCACCTCTAAAGCAAGAGTTGGCAGATATCTGCAGAACACTTGAGACACTTGGCTGTATGGTGCTCTGGCAGCTTGATCAAAGCCCCACTGCTCCAACTTCATGGCTCAGGCTGTGGCTGTGGGGGAGAAAGCAGGCTATGGCAGAGTATCCCCTATGGAAAAAAACCCCACAGAAGGATGCCTGGAAGTCAGCTCCAGTGTGCACAGGAATTTGAACTGAGGCTCATTCTTGGAGGGCAACTAACCTGTCACATGCTCAAATAATATGTTAGATCAGAGGAGAAGGGAACATCACTGCTCAGAAATACAAGTAGCTGTAGGAATCAGGGCTTCATATATTTTCATATTGCGCTGCAACAAAGATGAAAATAGTAAAGTCAGGACAAACAAAACATGAGCTGCCTTGCAAAAATGAGTTGAGTGTACTGAGTAAATGCCCCTTGACTATCATGTGCTCTAAAACAAGAAATTATTTGTTACACAATTAAAAAAAAAAATACAGTTTCATTGCTTTTAAAATTACTTTTCATAATGAGATGGCCTAGAAAAAGATTTTTAATTTCCTTCTTACTAGAGAAAATGGGATATTTCTTACATTATATTGATAGAGAAAACAATAATTAAACATTACCCTACAATGTAATTAAATACACAGATAATTTCATAATAATATGCACCAAAAATGGAGTTACAGAGGATCATACATACTTAGCTAATTGCAGGCAAAAGCTGGAAAAGCAGCAAAAACTTTGAGCAATAATTACAGGATTTTGTGGCATATTAAATTTCTGATTGTTATTTGTTTAGCTTTAATTATTAATAAGGTGTAGCAGTTTTTAAAATTGAGAATTCTGAAATATTTTTTCTTTCTTTATGCTCACTCCTCTCCTCATCTCTCCTTATCTCCCAAGGGATCCATATGGGCAGGTCCTCAGTAAAAGCAACCAAGCTGTTGGAATACAAAAAGACTGCATTGAAGAGCCATAGAATTAACCATCGCATTACCACTTCACAGACCATGACTGATTTTGCATTTATTATACTGCATAAAAAGACCAGTCCTCCCAGAAAGGGCTCGGGGCATAGGAAATCCACAAAAGCTGGGGTTGTTCACTCTAGAAAAGAGACATATAAGCAAGGGCACTATAAAAATTACCTAAAATGGTAAAGAGTGTAGCAGGGGTGCTTCTCATTTAACTGCCCAAGAGCCCAGGGGCACAGATTGAAAACAACTGTCATATTCAGAAGCAAGGCAAAGAAATGCATTTTTCATTCACTATATAATTAGTATCAGTTTGTCTAATGAAAGCTCCCTCCTCTCCCTACAAGTCTTGCTCCACTTTTTTCTTTAGACTCTTGTGCTACATCTTTACTACTGGTGTTGGTGTGGTGTGTCATGAAGGTTGAACAATAGGCAAGACTGAAGATCAGAAAGAGGCAAGAAATTATATTTCAAGATCTGCTATTTAATGTTTATCTCTGTGTAACATCTGAAATATGTTTTAATGTATATAAAAAGAGCTAGTAAGCCTCAGATTTTATGACTTATGGAAATTTTTACTTAGCAAGGGTTAGGAAGGTTTCTTCTGTTCTCTTTAGAAGTACTTGGTGTTGACCACACAGGAAAAGGATTATGAATGTTTAAAATAGAGTATGTGTATTACCAATTTACATGAGCCCACAGGTTAAATTAATTGAATATAATCTGCAAAATCTTATTTGGAAGGACAGTCTTGCAGAATGTAACCACAGAGAGATGACAGGGGTTCTTTAGCAGTCATCTGCAACAAGAGATCAAGGACTGGAAAAAGCCCTGGAGCCCTGAAAAGCTTCTTGAGTTCAGGCTCAGGCTCTGGAGAGGACTGTGCAACCCTGCAGAGCAGCGCCTGGGGAGAGCAGCTGTGGCTGCAGAGGTTTCCCATTGCTGCCTGTGGCTGCCAGGCCCTGCTGAAGGATGACGTTCCTGCTGGCGGCAGGAACACGTGGATGTAGGCAATTACAGAGCGGTCACAAGATCAGGCTCTTTCCTTGTATTGTTTTACCACCACATGAAGAAGGTGCTTTTGTCAGTGCTCCCATCAGTCTTTCTTTTTCTCTCTTTGGTGTCATCTTTCAGTGATGACAACCTTTTAACTGATCTCAGGTGCAGCTGGTGGCTGAGTTACCTGTCCTGCCAACAGCGTGTTTCACTATCTTCCATGCCTGCCTTTGTGCCTCGTATTCAAGTGCATGATTTTCCCTGACACTGAAAGGTTCTCCTTGCTGATGGGAGCTTTCCTGCCTCTCCTCCACTAACATTATTGGCATTTGCATGCTGCTCGTCCTTCTTTAACCCCCCTTTTATTACTGCAGTGTTTCATGATGCTGTACCACAGGAACCAAGGAACATGCATGTTTGGACAACAACCCTATTGTACCAAGATGCTACTGATACTTGTAGAATATTTCTCTGGATTGGCCTGACAATTTTTTTTTTCTTCTTTTTTTTCAAGTACATTCTACAGACTTAAAAATAAGAACTTTATCTTCCAGTCAGCCTTTCTATTTGATCAACTGTGGCAGCAGGATGAAGTACTATGATCAAATTCTCAGATGCAGAGCACAAACTCACTGCGAAGACCTGTCACCTGTAATGAGAAGACAGTTTCGGCCTGTGCGAAAGTGCACCAGGGATGCTGCTTGTTTTCTGGAGACAAGCTGTTGTTCCCAGATGGCCCTGATCGATCCTCAAGTTGGCTTCCTCTGTATTTAACACCACTTGAAATGCTTATGCTGTCTTCACCATTCAATACCCAAAAGCGAAAGCTTCTCTCCTTGGGTCTGCCACTTTGTAAGAAAGATGGGTGCATTTTGAGATGGAAGTATTTTTAAATCATTGGTTCATTTTGTTTGTCCTTTGTTTCTCTTTAATTCCTTTCTTATAACTGGTCTTGTTAATGCCTTTGGTATCAGAACCAGTGAATATATTTTGTCCACTTCTCATATTTCTGAATCCTGAACTGCCCTGAATAAGAAGTCAGTTGTAGGTAGTGTAGTTCTTCTAGCTTTGCTGCTTCAGCTACATTCATTGAACATGTTTTAAAAACTGTTTTTTCCTTTGAAAATTTCATTTCCCACCCCTGTCCAGATATCCTCTTTCTAGAAGTGCTGTCTGAAATTACATACTTTGCAGGGATCTCTGATGATCACATCATATAAGACAGATGTATCTATGCTGTCGATTACAAACCAGACACATTAGCCTAGAATTCACCTCAGAGCTCAAACACTGATTAATGTCTTGGACTTTTTTTTTTTTTTTTTTTTTTT